TGGTGAATCAAATAATCACATCAGTACATCACACGTTGTAGTGATACATAAAATGAAACAAAACGCTAAAAAACCATTATCCAACTTGGGTGAAGCAAATGATCACACCATGCATAATAAATTCAAACTGCTAATGAGATTTCTTATATAGACAAAAAAAAAAATATCTCCCAAATGTCAGATCCAATTCTTTACAATGATTCTACAGACACAAGGCTTTTGGCTGCCGCAAGAAGAGCCACAGCACAAGAATTTCCTATACACTACCTTTAATTTACTTTTTGATGCCAAAGAGTTTAATGTCACTAACACCTTTGCACAATCCCTTTATTGGAGATGCCTTCTCCTGCCAACCAGCCTTTGAGAAGTTTTCGAATTTTGTTTGCCAACAACCTTTCTGAGATCATTGTTTGATACCATGCCTTCCCAGTAGCCTTTATTGCAGATGCCTCCTCTTGCCAACCAGCCTTTGAGAAGTTTCCTCTCATTGTTTGCCAAGAACCTGCAAAATTATCCGGCACACACCTGCAGACACGTCAACCTTTGTAAATAAAAAAACACTTAAAAAAGTTACAGAGTGGGTAGGTGAGAAGTTCACTCAGTCCGTGTCTTTCGGTAAAGCTTCATATAAGCATGACACCTGTAGCATCAGCACCACAACCCAAGTATCAACATCAACATCACATAAACTACAAAATTCAAAGTCCAACTTTCATACCTTTTTATTGGGTTCTGCTCACTCAAAACCGATCCATCTGCCCATGGAAGCAGTTGACAGCCCAACCCTCCCGGCAGTCTCTCATTATTTTGTCATTCAACCCGTCCATCGGGGTGTTGGTCATGTCGAACTCAATAAATTTTAGGGCATATGCCCCACATTCAGCACTACAATAGGAAGAAGACATTAGCATTAGAATAAACTTATAGAACAATTGTATTATGTAAGTTAGTTTTATACAAAATTTACCTTGACTCATTTATTGGGCCAGTAGAGCACTTAATTGGCCACTTTTCGATTAGTACTTGATCACCCAAGTGCCCAAAATCCCGATGTCACGCAACAGCCGTCGGAACAACCTGGACAGTGGCTCCAACTCGACCTCCAACTGCTTGTCTTGACAAATAGTGGGGTTGCAGTCAAGGATCTTTAGCAACCCCTCCTCTAGATGCGCAACACTCCTCTAGAGTGCTTAATTGGCCACTTTTCAGTTAGTACTTGATCACCCAAGTGCCTAAACATCCTGCTGTCACGCAATAGCCGTCGGAACAACCTGGACAGTGGCTCAAACTCGACCTCCAACTGCTTGACCTCCAATTGCTTGTCTTGACAAATAGTGGGGTTACAGTCAAGGATCTTCAGCAACCCCTCCTCTAGATGCGCAACGACTGCTATCCAGTACGTTTGTTTGACAAGGATGATGCAGTACACTCTTTTAACAAAGGCCCAACCGTGGCCATATTTGGGCCGATCCCCCGTATATACTGCATAATTCTGTCATCAAAATGAAAATCATCAGGGATGCAGTCTAACTGTACTGGGGCCAATCTTTTTCACTTCGGTCTTTTTGCTGCACCACTAGCAACGACATTTTTAATTAAAGTGCGATATGCTGAAACAAGCATTTGGCCAAACGCCACATCAGTGATAGCACAGTCGGGATACAACTGATCACCATCAGTAGTCTATCGTAGCCTCATTAGTGGCAATATCTCATCGATATGCTGCATCAAATAAAAACAACAAGATAAGTATGGAAAACATAGGCAAAAATAAGGAAAATTAAGTGAAAATAACTCATCGAGTCCTCAAGCCACGTGCCCATCGTCAACAACTTCTCAAACCATTCTTAGGTATAATCCCTTGTCTTACACTTTATATGGGCATTACTTCCTGATCCATTGTAATAGGCATAGAAGAGCTTTTTCTTTTCCTCTATTGGCCTATACAAATTGACATTTGAGTCCAATTTCCCTTGCCCACTTCCTCCCCCTTCTTCCATTTTTACATCCCTGCTTCTTTCTCCTCCCACCTCACCCTCCTCCATTATCGCCGCCCCACTTCCTCCACCAACCTCCTTAACCTCCTCCATTTCTGGTTCTTCCTCCATTTGTTTCTTAATTTTCTTCTTCTTTACCTGTGTCACTACCATGTCAGGTGATTTCACAAACTTGCTCTTTCGGCTCTCTCTTTTCAAGCCAGTTTGCACTTCAACCACCTTTAATTCTCCACCAACATCCTCCTCCATTGTACCAACTTTCTCCTCCACTGTACCAACTTTCTCTCTCAGCTTATCCATTTTCTCCTCCACCCTTTTCATGCACTCTTCCATCTTGTCAAACCTTGTATAAACAGCTGTTGTAAAACTCTCAAACTGGCCGTTTATGTGGTTAACAACCTCATTCTCCCGACGTCGATTTCTCAACAAAGCAGTACTTATTGTACCGATTTGCTGAGGCATATGAACCTCTTCCTCCCTCTTCTCTTCCTCATCCTCGGGCCTCCAGCCCATTGGAGCTTCATAATCCTTGGCATCAATGACGTTGTCAAGCAATGGCCCTGCAACTGCCATCACATGTGTGACCCCTTTTAGGTCCCGCACGAGGCGATCTATCCGTTCATCCCTTTCATCCTCCATTGCTTTGAAAGGTGTGACATAGTCCTCTTCCGCTTCATCCTCAGTAGTGGTGAGAAAGGGATGGACGACTCCCTGCAATAAGAAACAAAATCAATCAGATTAAAGCAAAATAAAAAAGCAATTGCATATTCAAAAGCTTAATCCTTTAATCTTACCCCAGCCGCTTGAATCTCAATCTCTATTTGGTCGTAATCCGAATGGTTACACTTCCCGACATGCCACCGCAACATCCTAGGAAATTGTTGTTGCACATCCAAAATGTTGCTCCTCCCTCCCGCCTTAGCAAAGACAGGGATGGCCTTGTACATCCAAGCCTACATTGTAAAAAAAACAGTCTATATCATAATTGAAACACATATATTATAAAAAATATAACAGAGAGCTATTAATATTTACTTGTATTGCCCATGGGAAGCTAAACAAATTATACGTGCTTGGTTTAGCCTTCCCACCCCATTTGGCATGTTTTAATGCCATGTCTGGTTTTTTCAGGCTCTTGATGGTTTCGCTCAAATGATATCCATCCCCACGAATAAGAATTAAAGAACTCCAAGTCGCTTGCAAACAACAACCAATCTTTCTCAACAGCTTTTGTTGAGTCACCAGCCAATAAGATAGAATATAAAAACAATAGCAAGCACACTTTTATCTTTTCTCCATCATTAAACCTAACTATTTCTAGCCTCTCCTCTAAAACGTGTCTTGTAATAGACTTTGCCCCCTACAAAACCTTATTACGAAACCTTATGGCTCCCGGACTCATTTTTATTGCGTCTGCCTCTGCCTTATTTGGCACTTCCCTCGCATCTTAAGCCCGTCACCACGACATACTCCATCATCCCAAACCGTAGTGGCTTTCCGTCCACCACGAACCACATTTCATTTTTTTTTGTTGCGTTTTACTGAGTGCAGCAACATGTAATGCACTCCCTGCCCCCAAAATGCCTTTTTCCAATTTATTCCGATTCTTAAAAACTAACTGAAAAAGTGCGACCGAAATCTCTTTCACCATGCCTCATTCCAGCTAAAATGGCCTTTATTCTATCAAAAACATCCTAACTCAACCTCATCATCACCCTTGCAGGGAAGTAGGGTACCTTCTCACTTATAGGCTCTAACTCGTAGTCTCTACAGTTTATGGTCCGCACAATCTGCACAATCGATATAAACAAAATGTCAGCAACAAAAATAAACCAAAACAACTAATAAACAAAATATTAGCAACAAAAAATTACCACTGTAGTCACTTAAGCGATTTTGGATCGCTTAAGAGATCTTGACTCCGCCTCGTGCAAGATCGCTTAAGTGACCAAGAGTAAACTGAGAATCTCTTAAGCGATACAAAAGATCGCTTATTATATCTGTGATTCTGCCTCGACAAGATCGCTTAAGCAATTTGAAATCGCTTAAGCGGCCAAGAGTAAACTGAATCAATCTCTTAAGCGATACAAAGGATCGCTTAAGTGATCCTTTGTATTGCTTAAGCGATCATGAGTGCGATCATGAGTAAAACAGATTAATCACTTAAGCAACAGTATAAGCAATATTCCCAAACAACGTACCCTCTCTTCGTCGGCCTCCTCCTCATTGCCTGAATCCTCGGACGACTCCTCCTGGCTTGAATTCTCGTCGGACTCTTCCTCCTGGCCTGAATTCTCATCTGACTCCTCGTCTTCAAAACCGTTTGCTAGTTCTTCCATCTGTTCTTATGCCACTAGCGTCTCCTCTATGTGTGGACCACCTTCACTGATCGGATGATCCACCGGAACATCCATTCAACTGCTTGCGCCACCGGAATCTAGGATTCGAAGTGGTGTTGGGTTTTCCTCCTCATTGTGAGTGTTCGCCATGGTTTTGGATTGATTTTGGTGTCAAAGTTTGCAGTTTCGATTGGAAATGTGGACTGTATCGCCGGAAATCGCACAAATTCTGTTTAGGGTTAAGGAAATCGATTTTAGGGTTCAACAAATCGATCAAAAATCGCGACTATATCACCAGAAATCGTGACTGTATTTGGTTTAGGGTTCAAGAAATTGATTTTAGGGTGCAAATTGCAGGTGTTCTATCGGAAAAAATCGTGTCTCCCTTTGGTTCAAGAAATCGCTTTTTTCCCTAATGAATTTCGATTAAGTGAGGTGAATAGTGGGGCTTGTTTTGAGAAATTTCAAATTTTAAAAACTTTCATTATTTCTGATTTGGCCTACATATGTTTTAATCTTTTTATTTTAACCCATTTTACGTGTTTAATTAATCCTAACTATGCCACGTCATCTTCTCTAAATTAAAAAAAAATGAAAAACAGTTTCAAGGCCATTTTCTTAAATCGAAACTTGGGATGGCCTGGCAGCTAAATTTTCTACAACTGTGATCACTCCTCTTAAAAAATGGCTCCCAAAAAGAAGCCACAGAAACAAAACAATAACAACAAGAACGCCAATAAGAAATCAAATTCATCTTCTTCTTCTTCATCATCCTACGATCCACGCCTACATATTTCGGCCGCGAACAAGAATCACCTACGATGCCTCCACCTCAACTTGGCCTGCCCTGCTGAGCTAGTTTCGGCTGCAGCTTAGGATACTCTCTAAAGGACTCAAAAGGCCAAGAAGCTCAAAGCTGTCTACGAGAAGCTCTTCTGCGCAGGGTTTTCCTATAATCAAATTGAACTTTCTCTCTCTTCGCTTAAGGTAAATTAGTAATTCCATTCTTCGTTCTCTTTTATTTTATTCTTTTTAATAAATACTTATCAGTTAATTTAAATAATGGAATTTTTATGAATTTAATGTCATATCAATTTGTTTCTTTACTTTTTTTGGTTATTGCTCAAGTAAATTAAATATTTAGAACATTTCAATTCATTTTAGGTCAATGAGGTATAGGCTTATTACAAAATGTTTTTCGTTAACTAAGGAATAGCTAGCTAGGTTTTTAAATAAACTTTAGGAAGAATTTTCTTGACCTTCATATGGCTAATTTTGACTAATAGGTTCTATTTGTTTTGAGATTCTTCAGAAACCTTGCTTTAAGTTCTTTAAATCGCATTAACTCCCGTAGAATATAAAATTTATTTGAAACCCCTCTTGTAGGAGAGGCGACTCTACTTGTTTTCCAAAGCAGGGGCGCATCTGTAACTAGAATAAACTATTGGGGGAAGTACCCTAAATTCACTTAGTTTTTATGAAACTTTAGGGGTGGCTTTGAAAGATTTTTGGGAGGTTTATCAAAATAATTAGAATTTAAGGGGAGGAATCTGATTAATTTTGAAATAATTGGTGCTACTTGTATCTTAGCCAAATTTTGAGGAGACTAATGATTTTTGGAGTTTTGGTGCTTTCATAAGTCCGTTTAGCTAGATTATGAGAATGTTTTATACATGTTGAGTTCATACAATTTTGTGCTTGTATTGAGTAGGATGATGCTACTTTTGAGGCTGCTCTTGATTGGTTATGCTTAACTTTGCCGGGGAATGGACTTCCTTTAAAATTTTCTACTAGGACTTCTCAGCACTTGAATGGAGGTAATTTATATGTACTGTATATTATGGTGTTATATTTTGAGTGTATAGAAATTAAGTGTAAACCAATGGCATATTTCTAGAAGTTTCTACTGTAGTATGAGGTATTGATGCTAGGAACGTTTTTTATCCTTGGATGAAGATCACTAATGGTTCAGACCTTCATGTACTGGTACCTTGTATTATAGAATGACCCATATTTGATAATGATGCTAATGCTCTTGTTATCACGTGTTAGGAGCTTCTGTTTCTGTCATATCGGTTGTACGGGATTGGATTCCATCTGATGGTTCATCAGCAAATACTAATGAGGAAGTGCAAAAAATTTCAGTTAGGACCAAGGGGCATCAAGGTTATGATGCTCTAGATTCACGCCAACCATCTCAAGGAGATTGGATCCGACAATATATGGAACAACAAGAAGAGGTTCGTGGATGGTTATAAATTATGATTTTTCATGAGTAGAGATGACTGGCTCTTGAAAATAATCGACTCACCCTATATTTAATATGTTTATGATTGAATACATATAATTGAGCATCTCCTGTTGTTTTTATTTCCCTTGAAATGGATATGATAATTTTTAGAGTTTTTTTGTTGAAATGGGAGTTTATGAGGCAAATTTTGTGCCTCTAGCGGCATAAGGCAAGGTGACCCACTTTCACCTTTCTTGTTTATCATTATAGTTGACACCTTGGGTAGGCTAGTTGACAAGGCTGAGGAGCTCAATTATATGGAAGGTTTCAAGTTTGGTAAGGATAATTTTGAGGTCTCCTATCTCTTATTTATGGAAGTCACAATCTTCTTCTCTTTTGAGAACTAGGACAAGATCTCTAACTTAATAATAGTGGTAGAAACCTTATATTTGATTTTGGGATTGAAAATTAATTTGTCTGAAGGTGTAACTGTTGGAATTAATTCCCATGAACATAAATTGATTTAATTGGCAAATTCTACTGGTGTTGAAGTTGTTAAGTTTTTTTAAAATTCTTGGGTTTTCCGTTCTTTGGAAATTAAAGAGCTTAAGCATCTTGAAACCCTGTTGTGAAAACTATAGAGAGAAGATTGAAGGATTTGAAGAAGGTTTTTCTCTCAAAAAGGGGTAGATTGACTTGGGTATACTTGGTGTTGTCTGGTTTGCCCACATACTCTCATCTCTTTTCCAAATTAAAGTTCGTAAGACTATGGGTTTCTTTTGGAAGTTTTTAGAGGGAAAGAAGTGTCACAAAGTGAAGTGAAATGTGGTATAAAGGTCTTAAGACAAAGGAGGTCTCAAGACTGGATATCTCATTGCAAGTTCAAGGTTCTCCTTTGACTATGGTGATTCCTTTAAAAGGTCCCTCTTTTTGGCATGTCATCATTAAAAGCAAAACCTAAAATTAATTTTGATAGGCAGGACTCAAAGGTTGCATTTAGAGAATCAATTAGAGTCCTCAAATGCTCATTTCTTGAGGGTATGATGATTTCTTCAGACCTCATGGTTGAGGTTGGAAAGTTAGATAGGCTTGAGGTTTGGGAGGATTCTATATTAATTCTTCTCTTCTATATTAGTTGTCTCTGTTTTGATGCAAATGTGCAAGAATATCTTTGGAAAGCATTGATAATTTTCTTCTTCTTTGTCTTCTGACATTGAATTTCTGGAATAAGTTTAACTACTATATTGACTTCAGTTTCCCAAAATTCTTAAGTGTCTTTGCTTATCAAAAGGTTGTCAAAAACTTCTATTTGATTGAACTGAGGTCTATCAGCTGTTTTATGGGTTAATGGTTGAAAGAAATAGAAGAGTATTTCAGGATTCTGGAAAAGAATAATTTGAATTGTTATGGAACAAAGCTCATTTCTTGCATCCTTGCAGGCTTCTAGTTCAATGGATATGATAAACACATTTGTTTCCCATCAATTATGACTGTGTGGTAGCGAGCAAATGACTTTCTTTTTCTATACACTTATTTTGTACCACTTGTTTCCAATGATTTTTTTCAGAGACTCATGCCATGATTTACTAGTGTGAACCTCTGGCTCACTTCCTCTTGTAGATGTCTCTTCTCTAGTATAATAATCAAATTCTATAAAAAAGATGGTTGAAAATTTGAAGCTTGATAGTTAATCTAGAGAAAGAATCACTTCTTGTTTGATATATCTGTGTTTACTTTGTTTTGATGTGAAAAAATTTGAACAATATGTTTCCATGTGTTACTCATTGATAATGAGTTTAAGGCTTGTGGATATGAGTTAGGCTTTTGTAAAAGTATGTTCTTTAATCAGAAGAAAAATATTCAATGTTTTTGAAAGAGTTAATGGTAGTTTCAGTGATTGCAAGAAGAGTATGAAAATTGAGAAGATTATGCAATTGACAAGAGTTCCATCAAGGAGGTATGCTCTTTTGATTCTTGGTATCATACTGGATGATGTTTTGATTGAAACAAAAATGAAATTGTTATGTGCACCCAATTGGAACTAGTTGCGCACTATAACACAGAAAAACAAACACACATTGAGTAGAAATGAAAATAGCTCACATGGGTATTGTTAAGAGCTTACTCTTGTTAGGCCTTTACCTAGCAACTTAAGCTTTTGGGTTTAATGTTAATGTGTTACTAGAACAAGGTTAACCTGGGTGTTCTACAATTTCTGTTATTAGGTGGTTCAGTAATTTACAAGGTTATTCTGTTCCTTTGATTCTGAAACAGGTTTCCTTTCATTATTTTGATTAATCTTTTTTGTATTAATAGGTCTCTAAACCTAGGTCATATGATGTTATTGCTAGAGAGTACCTTGAGGCTCTTTTGGAAGCTACAAAAGCTAAAGAAAAACGGGACAAAAAAAGCCAGGAACAAGCAGGAGATATGATCCGCAAACTCAAGCAAGAGTTGTCTGCTTTAGGTTAAATCTAATTTCTTTCCTGATCTATGTTTAAATATGGTTACTTTTCACCTTTTGCTTTGAGCAGTTTGGATTTATTGAGTAGGATTGTCACATAATGCCTTGGCATCAGATTTTGAGCTTGAACATGCTTCTGCTTATGCTTCAGCAATATAGTTTCTAGATCCATGCCTTATGATGACCTTGAGGTTGTAACATCAGATGAAATATATGGTGCTTCAGATTTGTTGAGCATACAGATGAATCAATAGTTGGTGGAAACAAGGAGTTTCCACTCAAACCTATTCCTTCTGGAGAATCTGTTCAGGAGAAAGTAGAGGATAAAGTCAAGGGATGTGGAGCTTGGTGGATTCTTTTCAGAAGATGCTCCATCCAATGAAGCATTACCTACTGAAATTATGAAATTACAGAAGAAAGAAAAGATGAGAATGTTATGTAGTGACAAGAATATAGAGAAATTAGATGGCATCTGGAAGAAGGTAATGTGTGACATGCAACAATTTTTAAGGCTAGTTTTGTTACTGTGGAATGTTTATGTGTTAGCTGATGCATAGCTAAATCTTCTATTATACATTCTATTTTTAAAAGCTTCAGAAAAGATGAATCAAAGTTGTAAGACTTATTCATAAAATAGACTATACAACCTCTGGTCTTTATAGGACTGAAAAAGAGAGGAAAAAATAGTAAGAAATAACTACAGATATTTACACCTAGATTATTTCCGTGAATAGCTATATATAGAGAGAGACTAAACTAATATTGTACAGATCTCAACCAAATCAAGGAGATTTGGTCAATTAATCAGAAAGATTATTTCCTGATTTCTGTGAATCATGTCAGGATTCTCAACACTTCCCCTCAAGTTGGACTAAAAATATCTTCCATGTCTAGCTTGCTAATCAACTCCTCAAACTGTTGTTTGGGCAGCCTTTTTGTCAAAAAATCTGCAATCTGTTCAGTAGTTGGTACATAAGGCATACATATTAGTCCATCTTCTATTTTTTCCTTTATAAAGTGCTTATCAATTTCAACATGCTTCGTTTTGTCATGGAGCACAGGATTATGAGCAATAGATATAGCAGACTTGTTGTCACAATATAGTCCCATTGGTAGAGCACTAATTATCTTTAGATCCTCTAGGAATCGTTTAATCCATAGAATCTCACAAATCCCAAGTGTAGCAGCTCTAAACTCAGCTTCTGCATTACTCCGAGACACCACATTTTGTCTTTTGCTCCTCCACATGACTAAGTTTCCTCCAATAAATGCACAATATCCAGATGTTGAGCGTCTATCCATAATGCTACCAGCCCAATCCGCATCTGTATAAATCTTCGCTTGTAGATGACTATTATTTCTGAATAGCAAGCCCTTTCCTGGTGTGCCCTTTAGGTATCTAAGAATCCTATAGACAGCTTTAAAGTGCTTAAGTCCTGGTGAGTGCATAAATTGACTGACAACACTTACAGCAAAAGTGATAGCTGGCCTTGTGTGAGAGAGATAGATTAATTTGCCCACCAGTCGCTGGTACCGTTCTTGGTTAACAACATCCTCAAGTTTAGCAGGTTGTAGCTTCAAATTTGGCTCTATAGGAGTCTCAGCTGCCTTGCATCCTAGCAGACCTATTTAATTAAGAAGTTTAAGTGTATATTTGCGTTGTGAAACTGAGATACCCTTTCTCGACCTTGCAAACTCCATCCCTAGGAAGTACTTGAGTGTGCCCAGGTCTTTAATTTCAAATTCTTTTGCCAAGAAACCCTTTAGTTTGACAAGTTCAACATCATCATCACCTATTAGGATTATGTCATCTACATAAACAATTAGTATAGCTAGTTTCCCCTCTTTTGTGTGTTTATGAAATAAGGTGTGGTCAGCTTGGCCTTGTTTATAGCCCTGTCTTTTTACAGCCTTAGTAAACCTCTCAAACCATGCATGAGGGGATTGTTTAAGGCCATATAAAGATTTCTTCAACCTACACACATTATTCTTCCCTAGCTTTTCTTCGAATCCAGGTGGTAAATCCATAAAGACTTCCTCTTCCAAGTCTCCATTCAAAAAAGCATTTTTAATATCTAACTGATGTAATGGCTAGTTAAAGTGAACAGCAAGAGAGAGAAGAATTCTAACAGAATTTATCCTGGCTACTAGGGCAAATGTTTCTTGATAGTCTATCCCATAAGTTTGCATAAACCCTTTTGCCACTAAGCGTGCTTTATACCTCTCTATTTGACCATTAGCATTACATTTAATTGTGAATACCCATTTGCACCTGACAATTTTCTTTCCACTAGGTAGTTCTGAAACTTCCTAGGTTTTGTTTTTTAGGAGGGCATTCATCTCTTAAAAAACTGCTAATTTCCAATCAGGATGTTCTAGAGCTTCCTTAATTGTCCTAGGCATAAACTATTTAGATAAATTGGATACAAAGGCTTTATGTTAGCTGGACAACCTATGATAGGATAAATATTTGGCAATTGGATGCTTAGTACATTCTCGGACACCTTTTCTAAGAGTTATTGGAAGGTAAAGATCTGGATATTCATCAAGAATAGTAGGTAGAGGGTCTGAAACAGTACTTGGAGTTTCTTCAGGAGTAGAATTTGAGGGTAATGATTAATCAAGTGCCACTGAAGTAGGCTGGACTCTATTGTTCAAATGATACCTCTTCCTTGAATAAACATATAACTCTGCAGGTTGCTCAAGTAGTGGTAGTTCCACCTCTGTTTGTGATGAAACAATACCTTGGTCTGAATTCTCAGAGTTGGTAGTATTCATAGGATTCACAACCTCTGAAGAAACTTCAGGAAATATAGTATTAGGTAATGGAATAGAAGTCTGCCAAAAATGATGTTCACTTTTACTCTCCCCTTGAAGGTCATTTGGTATGAAAAAAGGTTGTTTTTGTAGGAACACAACATCTATACTAAAATATATCTTCCTTGTTTTGGGATTAAAGCACTTATATCCTCTTTTATTTGGTGCATACCCCAAGAATACACATCTCTCTGCTTTCGGGTCAAGCTTAGATCTAAGATGGGCTGGAATGTGAACAAAAATAGTACATCCAAAGGTTTTTAAATCCATCATGGTCATAATTCTAAGATGATGGAATTTTTTTTTTAAGAAACTTAAGAGGTGTTTTATACTTAAGGACATGTCAATGCATTCTATTTATTAGATAACATGCTGTTAAAATAGCATCACCCCATAATTTCTTAGGTACATTCATAGTAAACATAATGGCATGGGCAACCTCAAGTAAATGTCTATTTTTTCTTTCTGTGATCCCATTTTGTTGAGGGGTATCGCGATAAGTTGATTGATGTTCAATTCCCTTTTTTTTAAGAAAATTTTCTACGTATTCATTAAAGTATTCTGTACCATTATCACTATGCAAAATACTTATCTTAGTTTGAAATTGATTTTCCACCATTTTATAGAAATCCATAAACAATTTCTTGACCTCAGATTTTTCACTCATTAGATATACCCAACTTAGTCTAGTGTGGTCATTTATAATGGTAACAAACCATTTTCTCCCAAAAAGATTAGTAATTTTTGAAGGACCCCACACATCGCTATTGTTGTAGATAATCATGCAAAATCATACAGATATTGCATGATTAAGTGTATAAATCTATAATTGGATATTAGGATTGTAATCAATATATATTAGGAACAAATCTGTAAAATAGGAAGTTAGAATATTTATTTCCTAGATTAGATTATTTATTTCCTAGATTAGTTCTTTATTTTCCTATATATATTGATGTATAATTTGTCAATACAATATGAAAAATATTACAATCAGTTCTCTATTTGTAACATGATATCAAAGCAGTTCCAGGTTGTTTTCTTTTCAATTCGTTTTTTTTTCTGCCCAAGTGAGCATTATTTGTGAGTCACCCTGGACAGTGGCCGTTTTTTCTCACCGCCTGCTAGAAGAAGCCTCTTCTGCCGATCGGCCATTCCCTGAACTCCAATCACCCTTCCCGGCTTCGTCTTGTTATTTCTGGCAATTTGTGTGATTAGTTCCTTAATATCTTAGCCAGGTCAGAACAGTTTTGTTGGTTTCTGTTGGTATCAGTTTTGTTGGTTTCTGTTGGTATAGAGTTTGTTCTTTGAAGAGTTTTTGTTGGCTATTTTCATCTTCTTACCATGACTTATAAGTCTATAATTGATATGGTTCCTGTAATGTCAAAAATTATGGAACATAAGCTTAATGGGTCTGATAACTATTTTGATTAGAGTAAGACAATTCGTCTTTATCTACGAAGCATTGGTAAAGATGATCATCTCACCAAAGATTCATCTAAAGACGATTCAAAGCAAACATGGTTGAGAGAGGATGCCCGGTTGTTCTTGCAGATACGAAACTCTATCAACAATGAGGTATTTGGTTTAATTAATCATTGTGAATATGTGAAGGAATTGATGGACTATCTAGATTTTTTGTATTCTAGGAAAGGGAATGTTTCTCGTATTTTTTATGTATGCAAAGCTTTTTATTGAGCTGAGAAACAAGATGGGTCTCTTACGGCCTATTTTATGGATTTTAAAAGGACATATGAAGAAGTTAACATTCTTCTACCGTGAGTGCTGATGTGAAAGTTCAACAAGCTCAACAAGAGAAAATGGCGATTATTAGTTTCCTAGCTGGACTCCCTTATGAGTTTGAATCTGCCAAATCTCAGGTTCTTGCTAGTTCTGAGATCACCTCCCTCCAAGACATATTTACTAGGGTTCTTCGTACAGAAAGCATTCCATCTGTTTAATCGAGTAGTGCTCTTGTAAGTCAGAATCATGACACCAGGCGTTCATAAAACAGGAGCAATAATAAAGGAGGGGGTTCGAATTATCATGAGAATCAGAGTCAGGAGTTAGGAGGGATTGTGTGCTACTATTGTCATGAACCCGGTCATACAAAGCTCACGCACAGAAAGTTACAAAATAAGGCCCAGAAACCTCAGTCAGCTCATGTTGTCGCTACTGATACTTCTGAGAAGAAGGTTATGATTTCAGCTGATGAGTTTGCCAAGTTTTCTCTGTATTAAGAATCATTGAAGTCCTTATCTACTTCCATCACTGCTCTCGCCGAGTCAGGTAAACCAAATACATATCTTATTTCCTCATCCTCTAAATAGGTCATTGATTCTGGTGCCACAGATCATATGACAGGTAATCCTAGTCTCTTTTCATCATATCAGTCACATAATTCCTCATCTAATGTTACTTTAGCTGATGGGTCAACTTCTTGTGTTCTTGGGTCTGGGTCTGGGTCTGGGTCTGGGTCTTCTTGTGTTCTTGGGTCTGGTTCTGTTAACCCTACTCCGTTAATTTCCCTATCCTCTGTATTGAGTCTACCACAGTTCACTTTTAATTTAATTTCTGTGAGTAAACTCACTCTGTGCTCTTAAATGTTGCATCTCATTTTTCCTTGATCATTTCCTATTTCAGGATCTTAAGACGAGGCAGATTA